AATTTCTCACTTGATCAACACAATCATTTTTTGAGTTCATGCCACTTTGTTCATTTTGATTTTGACATATTCACCAAATAACAGTACTTTAGGTACTTACGGGCTCCTAAATCGTTGTGAACATACTCTTCCTAGTTATGAAAGACTAGCATGGATAGTAGCCGGTTAGCCAAACCACACACGGATACAACATATACGTTCATAGGCCTTATAGCAAAGGTATAGTTAGGGAAATGAACATGAGGCCTGTAAATGTATCCCACTTTTAATGTGTACACAACAGTGAATAACATTTACCACTTTCATTTCCCGTAGATTCCCACAATCGACTCCAAACCCTATACCCCTAGTGTATCTTTGAACTATCCATATAGTAACTCAACAATGGCACACCAAAATCATATTGTTTACATCAATTAATATTATCATAATACATGTGTTACAATCACACTAATCAACATATTACAAAATATGTGTTATAATCTCATAGGTCGATATATTACAACACATATTATAATTACACCAATCGGTGTTTTTATGACTCACATATTAGTTATTCTTTTTCTATTACTTACATTTCTTCAACAATTCACAGAAATTCATAATAATTTCATTCATCTCTCTTTCCTTAAACATTTCATTAAATTATGTCTAACTTAAAGTATACGTGGACTTAATCCACATCACCTATATTGAAAGAAAACATTTAATCATGCTAAATCAATCAATCATACATCATCAATTTTTCATGACATTCATAGATCTCATTCAAGAACATATTGGTAAAACAAAGAGACATATATCATACAATTCAATATAATGTGCTGAAGGTCGGACACCTCTAGACTCAGACCAATCGCACAGTTCATAAATATATTGCTAGAGATCACAATCTTTCGATCTTGATAAAGTCTTTTATCCTAAAGTTTAACATTCTTTACTTTTTCCTAACCTAATACATATATTGATTCAGAAATATTAATTGATAACATTAGCAGTACATGTGTATACACACACACACACACAAAATAACATACCTATGAAAATTTCTTAAAACATTGTTCGTTTATAACTGTTATTATACAATTTTGTTTTAGGTTATTCTTAAATCCAACCATGGGTTTTCATGCCAAAAAACCATTCTAACATTATATTTTCAAGAAAATACTCTAGATCTACTATTTAAAATAGGATATTTTGAGTTTTTCATGCTAAACATACAAATAGAACTTAGAGTTTAGGACTAACTCCTTTTACCTAGAGCTAGGTCTCTGAAACTAAGTTTTTCGTGAGATCTTAGAAGAAAGCTCTCATTTTGATCAAAGATATGACCCAAAAATCAAAGTTCTTCCTATCATCACAGAGTAGAGTATTATTATGAAAAAAGAGAATAGAGAAATAAGAGTGAGATGGAAGAGCTAAGCTTTGAAAACTTACTTGGAATCAAGAGGAAGAGATATTCAAGCTGAGATTCGAAAGAGATTTGGAGTTCAAAGGTGTTTTTTTTTAATAAAAAGAAGTGAGAGAACAAAAAAAAAAGATAAGAATGGTGTCTTGCTTTGAGATATGTGTTTTTGGAAGGCCAAAATCACCTAAATACCCATTTTTCTCGAGGATTCTTGCTTGAGCGAGAAAATTAGAGAAAAATTGTTACCTTTCTATTGACATTTTTGCTCGAGCGAGAGTATTTTCGCTTAAACAAAAACACGACAAAGAGCTACCCATTTCTATCATAAATTCGTGTTCAAGCAAGACATTTTTTGCTCGAGTGAGATTACATATGAGAAAATTTAATCCATTCTCGCTTGAGTAAAATTTTTTTGCTTGAGATAAAAAGAATATTCTCTTGAGCTAAAAGGAATATTCTCTCTACTTTTTTTTTTAAAAGAAAACTTTTCATTTTAAAAACAAGAAAATACAAATAAAAATTATGGTGTTACATATAACACCAAGCCACAAAAATCATGGAATAGATAACGAAGAAATTGACCGTAGAGCATGCAAGCCAACCTAGGTAAATACGATAACAAATTGATTTAGTAGTTTAGCTATTTTAATTTTCATAGGAAGATTTAAGTTTTGTTAAATCCACCTGAATTTCAATCTATTGGACTAGCAAGACCAATTATGAGGTTAGTTTGCTAATTTAACTAGCCAATCTAATTCTAATTGTACAGCATTGAAAAATAGAATAAAAAGATAAGTTAAAATTTTCGTACGTATGGCATTTAATTTCAAGCTAACATATAAAGAAATATATTTTAATTAAGTTGTAGTTTAATTACATACTATATTTATTTCTCATCTTTACTTTTTGCACATCAACGTTAGGAGAAATAAACAAAATTTATAAGATTTCAAAATGTAGATGTATATTTTACTATAATTATGTTATGCCATTTTTTTTTTAATAAAGATGTAGTAATATATAAATATATTACCAAAAAATCTTGTATATTTTGCTTTAGTGTATTAGATTCTAAAGATAAATTAAGGATATGGATAATTTGAAATTCTTCTCCTGGACTATAATATTGAATGGAAACTTATACATTAATATCAAATCTGAAAAAGTTTCTCAAAATGAAGGTTTATTACATTGGAAGTGGGGTCCTTAGCAATAAAACATGAAATTCTATCATTCATCGTGTCATTTAATCCTTAATAATAGTAGTTAATTTCACTTGCTTCTAAAAAGATTGATTTTACTTATATGATAATAAAAATTTTGATATGCTCTAGAATTTTAGAATTTGCTTATTTTATTAGTCACTAATAAAATAAGTCTTTAACTTATATAGCTCAACTTTGTAATATTATATTTATGAAAATTTAAATTCAAATTTGTAAAGTTACTAAAGAAATTAAGTTAAAAATATTTTGAGCATAGAAGCAAATCCATCACATAATTTAATTGTAATCTTATTTTTAATTATTTACAAGTGTTTACTTTTAAATTTGGACATCACAATGGTAAAATTACAATTAATATTTTCTTTTTCTTTTTAGAAGTAAAAATAATATAGTAAAAATAGATTGATTAGAATAACGTGCACACTTCATTTTTTTAAACTTTTATAAATGATACTTGGAATTTAATTATGATTTTTTTTAAAATAAAACAAAAACAAAACAAAAGTCATAATCTGCAGAGGGAAAAAAACGATTTCTCTTTTAACAAGAAAACAATCAAAACTTAAATTTTAAATTATTTATGATAAAATTTTAAACTTTTCAATAATTTATTATGCATATAATTCCATGAGATAAGTTAACTTATTCTTGACTCATTACAAAAGTAACAAAAGTTAAGATGAGTTATCTTTGAGCTTAACTTACAGTGAGTTAATTTAATATTTCTAAATTTATCTAAGACTAACATATAGCAATTTTTTTTTTCAAAATCTCACACTTTAATACTCATTTGGAATTGTTGTATGTTCTTTTGTTTTCGTAGTTTTCAATTAAAAGTTTTGAAACAAAATGTGTTTGGCTAAAATAGAATTAAATTAGCCTTTTTTTTTATTTTAAAACAAATTTAAATCAAGTTTTTAGTTGCACAAATCATTCATCTCTTTGTTTCTGTCATATAAAACCTACAAGTTACATTCATTACCACTCTTGCCGCAATTACTAACACAACTATTAACCAATGCTCTATGCTGTTATCGTTTTTGCCACCTCTTCATTGTTCTCATTGGATCCACCATTAATATCAACATTTTATTTTTATTACCATAATTACAATGTCAACATCACTACCACTCTTAATATTGTTGTTGCAAAATTCATTACCATAATTGATTGCCATTGTTGTTGTTATTACCATAGTCATTACCAATTATTATATTGCCTTCATTGTGATTAACACCAGTTATACCACCTTATTGCCAACGCAATCATCAACTATCACTACTACAACCATCCACTACCACTATCATTAATTATTAGCGCTTCCATTCTTGCTACCATTATGTTGATTGTTTTCATTATTTTTTTCTTGGTCACCTCAACTACTTACTATCATAGTTATTACTGTATCATCACCACACTTTGATGACACTACCTCTATTGATAGCTCCTACAATCATTGTTACTATCATTACTAACATCCATCACTACTGTATTGTCGCTACTTCTTCTATCACTCTTACTATTATTATTATCACAACTACTGTTACTATTAGTCACTCTTTTCATTATTTATTTTCAATTACTCTAGTCACTTATCATTATCATTATTGCTATTATCACTATAGTTAATGTTGATATCACCACTACCATTACCATCATCATTATCATCATAACATCTACTACAATTGCTACTAACATTACTATTAATTATTACTTTTTTTTATTATTACTACAAGGGGTTTATATCTTCATTGTTACCTCTAATATTTTAAATCATAATTGTTATTACTACATGTAGTTATTTTGTCTTTAATGAATAAATCAAACTATGTGAGATAAGTGATTTGTACGTTTTAAAATTCAATGTTTAAATTTGAATGCTAAAATCTATAAAATATTAAAACTAAATTATAAAATTGAAAACTAATTTTACTTTTTAAAATTTTAAAACTTAAAACTAAAATTCGGTGTAAGCGTGACCTTTTAAACCCGTTTTTATTTTTATTTTTTACTTTTCTAATGTTTGATTATTAGTTTGTCACCAGTATAGACAACACGTGAAACGGATCAATGGCCTTGGAATGATTCCTATTTCGTTTGTCTTATTTTAAATAATCAAAAGATAATCCGATCAAATGTCTGTCTTGAGCATGAGCAGTACTAATTAATTAACAAAGGTTCTGTCTGTTCTGAATGGCTTTACCCTTCTGCTTACATCCAAGTAGGTACAATTGCAAAGAGTCTTCCTTGCCTTCTTCATAATTAAGCATATAAAACAAAGCTCAGTGAACACGCTGTAAGTTGTAAATACGAAAAGATCCCTCTAATTTAGAAACCATTCAGAAATACGAGTAGTAATGACACTATAGCTGATTCAGAGATCCCTTTTGGCTACAGAACCTTTCACTGGAAATAAGTTTTTAACCCAATCCAAATAACCTCCTCCCATGTTGTTCACATCCTTGAAGCCCTGTCAATCCATATTAAGGTTACCTTTAAATAAATAGTTTAACAAGCATTTATTTAATAAATTATTGTAACACGAGAGTTAATATCATAAAATTAATTATAAAATTTATCAAAATAAATCAAAATAGTATTTTTATAAATTATTCAAAAAAGAAGAACTATAAACTATTTTTTAAACTCAAATAAACTCTTTCAATTGTCCAATAAATCAATAAATTATCATCTCCTGATCAATCGGTTGGTAAACAATAAACTATTAGAAAAAGCGGAACAAATTAATATTACCATGTATGTTGCATTATTACTTGAATATTTGGATAGAGTATTATACAATTTATTCATAGCCCACTGTTATATATGTTTTATTTAAAATAAATGAGTATGAAGGGTTATCATAAGTCACCAATAAATATATATTTTTTAAAAATATCTCTTTTAAAACTACATAAATTTATTTTTTAAAAATAAGTTAAACCAAATATGTTTATAATATGTTTCTAGAACTTGGAATATACTAAAGTTGACTGGAATCAACTTACTTCAGCCAGAAGATCAGCAGTTGCATACAAAGATCTCACTCCACTTTGGCAACCCTAAAATACAGAGTTTACTTAATACAAAAGGGAAGAAATTATAATCTTAATGTGTATATATATAGCATGTAGAAGGTCATAGTTTGAAGATCAACCAAGTGAAAAGAGAGTCACCACTTACCACTATGAGGTGATCTTCTTTCTTGCAAGCAGATGAAACCTCCTTCAGAAACTCCGGGTTCTTCACCCTGCCTGTTCTCCAAAGCCACAAGATTTTACATTCTTACAAGGGAATTTGTAATCCTATCATACTAAACCAAGAAAATATACATCCCCAAGAGTAGTTATTAAGCTATTGCCAGATATTACAAATCGCTTCCTCACCTTTTGGTGTGTTAAACATGTATGGAATGTTAATAATCCTCTCTGCATCCACATGCCCTTTCTGAAACTCTTCCACCGTCCTATTAATTAGCAAAAGATTAGGCTCTTTTTGAAAAGGTAAACATCATTAATTTCTTTAATTAATTTTCAATCTAAATAAAAAATATTACACAGTTTAATATATTAATAATATAAACTTTTATAAAATACATTATTTAATAATTTGATTTATTGTATACTCTTAATCACACGCTAAAAAACATAATAAAAAAACATTTCTTACCTGACATCCAGATAAACATGACTGGTCTGGATAAGACCCTTGGCTGCAAGAACATCAACTGTGACAACCTCTGGTCCCGAACTACAGAAGACAAAACATTGATGAAATAGAAATTCTAATGCACGATCGAGGAGAACAATGAGACAAGCCACCAAAAACACCACCCACGTTGATATTGTATGTTAGCTATGTTACATGTAACACGAACTGCTATGACTTTGAAACTGTAATCTAATTATTAATTAATCCTAAAATAAAAATGTGTGAGAGAGAAGTAATATTCAAACAAACCTTTCAATTCCAATAGAACCCATGACAGAGAGGAGTAGTTTATGTTTGTAGAAGATTTACGTGGCTTTGGTTTGTTCTAAGTTTTGTAATATGTAGGCTGTTTCTCCTAAAGAACCGGAACAGACGATAAGGATATATATAGGGAGGAGGGGCAATGCAAAATGGTGGCAGTGTCGATAATGCTTCTGTATACTGTATTGGACCCATGTCTCGTGGAATAATTTCAAATTTTGTATCTTTAGGATAGTAAATATATTTTATTATTTAATATTTATTTTATAAATTTTTAACAATATAATATTATATATATATATATATATATATATATATATATATATAAGCAAAACTCGTAATGGTTTTATGGTTCAATATCGTGTGCTTGATAATGTAAAAATTCCCAACGTTCGCGGATGGATAAACTTTTAGTTTTTGAAAAATTCTAATTAATATTTCTAAGAATTAGTTAAGAAATTAATTATAATTTTTTAATAAATATGAAAAATAAAAAATAATAGAATATAATAATTAAATAAAAATGAAATAAAATATATTTTTATCTGTTTTCTAATTAATGCATATAAAAATAATAAAATAAATATATTATGTTATAATATTTTTTTACTTAAATTCTCACAAAATTAAATTCGCAGTAAAGATTACATAGAATAAGTCTATACATTTATCCTTATAATTCGTATTGCATTTTAATATGATTTGTAATAAAAAGAATTGTTATTTATTAATTTTTTAACCAACGTTTTAAGTACTGGACCCATAATTTTGTATTATTTTTATATTATTCCATTTAAACATTTTTGTAAGATACTTTTTAAAAGATTTTAATAATTTTTATATAAAATAATTCATATTTTTCATTTTTTATTTATTTTAAATAAGTTGAATCAGTAAAAATTTAAATAAAAATAATAAAAAGTTAATAATATTAAATAGAAATAAAATTATCAAACTATAATATTTAAAAAAGTAGTTAGTTTTAAAACTATTTTTATTAATTTCTAAAATTTAATTTAAAACATGTAATAAAATAAAAAATATTTTAAGTAAAATTAAAATTTTATCTCAATGTAATAAGATTTAACTATAAAAACTGCATCAAAATCACTTAAAAGAATCATTGCTAACTTTTGTGTTTGTGATATGAGGATTGGTAAGGTTGAGTGGAGTCCTTGCATGATCGCTTCTGCTTTCCATAAGTAATAGTGAAAGCGATTGAATTGCGTGACGCGTCAGATTAGTTGCGTAGAGTCTGTCGGATTCCCCGTTTGGGCTTTAGGATTTGGTGCTTTCTTTCGTGCCCTTGTTTTGTTTTATTTATGTTTGATTGAATGGAAAATATTAATAAATTAATGCCAAAATTAGATTAACGATCACTATCAATAGATTTTAATTGGTTTTTGGTTTATTGTAATATGATATGTAAAAGAAATGTATTCATACTTATTTAAATCAATTACAACACATTCAATTTTAAAAATTTGAATATCAATTATCTGACTGATTTAATATTATTTTTCATTTTTTATTATTTAGTATGACTTATTATTTATAATAATTTATTGCTATATCTGTTGATTATTTCCATTTTTGACAGAAATAATCAATATCAAAATAAGAGCATTGTCAACGTCTGATTAAGAATGCGAGAGTTTTATTAGTTGTAATTTTAAATTCCTGTTTTTTATAATTTCTTTTCTGTCGCCTCTATCAATTATTCTCATTATCATCCCAGTTTTTTTTTTTTTTTTATCAACGATTTACAATAGACAATAGTAGGTTTATTTACAAATAATTCAGGTACTTCATCCATGTTCTGTTGACAAAATTTCTAATCATGTGTTATTAAATTGTATATATTTATTTTATTTTATTGACAAATTTAATGACAATATTCCATTTTAAGTAAGATTCGTTGAAATAAGGAAAAAAAATTTAAGACTTGCAAAGTAGAAAATCTTTTTTTAATTAATTTATTATATATTTTATTTATTTTGATAATCATCGATGAATGATGATAGATGAATGTAGATCATAATTGTACGTAGACTGAAATGTGGGAAAGTTCATCTTCATCATGTTATAGTGTGACACGTGTAAAAGAATGTAAAATAAAAAATTATATAAATATTTTTAAAATTTTATTTAAAGATTAGTATTTATTTTGGATTTTTTTTATATGTTAAATTAGATCTTAACCATTAAAGATAATTTAAGACGGTTAAAAACTTTAAATAAGTCAAAAGAAAAAAAAAAAAAAAGAGTCTCTAGAATAAATTCCTGTTGCAGTTCACATGATGTTGTGATATACAGAAGGTAGCAGGTGAAAATTCAACAATTACGCTAAAAGCATCACGTTGAGGTTATGTTTGCAAGGAAAAGGTTGTAATTTATTCGGAAATATATATATATATATATATATATATATATATATATAATAAGTTTATGGAAATAATTGATAATGATAAAATAGAAAAAATTATAAATTTAATTAATTTTTAAATAATTTATTGAAGGAACATTAAGATAATAATAATTTATTTATTTTTTATTTCTGTCATAACTTCTATTTAGAAAGGATATAGGACACACTGTTTAATTAATATTTATATAAATTTTAAATATGTAAAGAAATATTAAATATTAAATTCAATACCATTAATGAAAGAATAAAATTTAATATTTCAATAGTGAAGTAAGGCCTTAAGGGCATCATAATAAAATTTTGAACATACATAATTATTTTTAAAATAAAGTTATACAAGAGTTGTTTGACACAGAGCTCAAAATATAAGTTATAATTTAAAATTTCATTACATAACCGAATCTATAGCTAACAAAGGTAAAGTTATAAATCTCAAAAATTTCTGAACTCAGTTCATTCTTCAGCCAGACCTTTCAACACGGAAAATTGATACACCACTTGTCACGTCTGTTCACGTACCATCGTAACACACTAATACAGACAAAATGTAAGGGTGAACTTACGAAGCAACAGCTATAGTCATAAAAGTACACACACATACACACACACACACACACACACATATATATATATATATATATATATATATATATATATAACTTTTATAATTCTTAGCAAGCAACACAATACTCAACCAATTGATACAACATGTTCAACCTATTTCCAGCCCATCTAATGCAAATGTAACAATTTAGTTTCAATTGGTTTCACAGCTCAAGTATTCTAGGCATCCTACCATTACATGTATAACTATCTAAACATATAACTCGACTCTAGAATGATGCAAGTCAACACAATGCAGTACAACCATATTTATAATTTCATTCAATCTCAACAGTACAATCATATGTATATTCAAACCAAAATCAAGCAGCTCACAACATTAATCAAGTACTTCAGCACATATTAAACATTCTTAGCTAAAGCAAGATTATTTATAATATCATAACACCCAAGTAAATAATAAAGACTTTCTAGGGTAAGCTCCCTTTACCTGGGAATAAGCTTTCTTAGATCTCACTCCTTGTGAGTCTCAAAGAGAGAAATAACGCTCAAGGGCTCAGAACTCCTTACCATTACAAAATAGAAACCCTTGAGAAGAGAAATCCAAGAATAAAGAGTAGAGTTGGAGAACTAAGTCCTAGAAACTCACCTAGATCCATACTTAATAGACGTTCCCACTTAGATAGGAAAAAGGTTTGGCTTTGAGAAGATTCTCGTTAAGGGGAGAAGGTGAGAGATTAGAGAAAATAATGAAAGAGGAAGGTTGTTTGGTAATATGTGTGATTTGAACTTAGTCAAAAAGTTCTTTACTAAGCACAATCTTTTGACCGAATAATAAGATTGATATGAAAAGGAGTAGGGGACAAAGTGACGTGAATGGATAAATTCTGTTTGAAATTATATAAATAAATTATTTCTATTTTGATGTATGTTGTATTAGATAATGATTTCTATATTATTTCAATAACTTAATAAAATAAAAGTTTAATGGGACAGAGGATATTCACCCTTACTAATATTTTCAGGTAATGAAAATGAAAAGATAAAGAAGGTTAATCTATTTTAGGATCATACTCACTCTCGATTGTAAGGAACAAAACTGCTCTTCTAGGGTTAGTTTATTTTGAGAAATGTAAATGGTGATTTTATATGGATGTGTAATATTTAATAGTTAATTACTTTAAATTCTAATTTATATCCAACTTTAATTAAATTTTGAATTTATTAAGAAATAGTTTATTGTACCATGAATGAGATTTTATACAGACCAAATTTTAAAAAATTTATTGCCTTTGATCAGTTTATATTCGTTTATCTATACAACTTTTCAAAGATATTCAAAACCTTTACAATTTCTATTAAGTCTCAATTATAATTTTATTATTATTAAAGGAAGTTATTTAAATTATTTAAGGATGTTACAATACTTAGGAGTCTAATCAAAAATTAAGTGTGAGGCCTATGATGCTTTCACTTTTAGCAATTTATATGCACTCACTACGGAACAACATTCACAACCCTTATTACTCAAAGATTTCTCAAATTATCTTCGAACTCTATACTCCTAGTGTATCTTTATAACTATTTATATACATTTTCATCACTTTTCATGACACATTTTCACGACAATTCTCTTTCAACTTTGATAACATAAATAACTTTAAATTTTCATTCTATAATTTTCTCTCATCATAACATGAATTTACCATTTTCAACATGTATCAACTTTTAAACAAAAATTCACAATCATTATAACATATCCTTCAAATACAAATAAATCATTAATCAATTTCACATCATACAAATCAATATAATATGCTAAAGGTCGGATACCTTTGGAGTTACACCAATCAATGTATAAATACATTGTCAAAGATCACACTTTCTCGGTCTTAATAAAATATTCTATTCTATAGTTTAACATTTCCTATTTTCATTATCCAAAACATATGTTATGTAAAACTAATAGTTCCCATCTATTATAATCAGTAAGATAAATCATGAAAACATCCTTAAAACATTGATTTACTCAGCCTTTTCTATAAAATTCTACTTTAGGTGA